ATGAACTATCAAGATGATCAAGGTAAGGAGAACACCACTCCCACATATCAATGATGCATACAGGCTGTAGCAGCCTTATCAGGTATGCATTAGGACCTTGAGATTGAAATGACAGAAGACAAATGTCTCATTTGTATCTGAATAATGAATCCTCCTGTCAAAATCAACCTTTGAAGTATGGATCCTATGCTGTTATCTGGATGAAATGGGTATGAGCCACAAAGCATTCTTGAACATGGTCAGCTGTAGACCTCAGCGTTCTGAGGTTTAAAAAAAGCCTACAGTTACAGGGGACTGAAGACAGCTAATGACAGTTGAGGAAATCACGAGTAGCCAAGAACCACCTCTGAGGTGAAGCAAAGCTGCTGGCCCAGCCTTTCTGATGGCTTCCAACACACTCCCCCCACTTCCTACACCTAACAGGCGGTTGTCTGTCAGGTGCAGCCCCACCTCCACATTGGCTTCTAATACTCCTCCTCCCTCTCCCTCCTACATTGGACAGGCAGCTGCCTGTCAGGTGTAGGAGAGGAGATGGGGTGGCTTCCAACACACTCCTACCACCTCCTACACCTAACAGGAGGTTGTCTGTCAGGTGCAGCCCCACCTCCACAGTGGCTTCTAATACTCCTCCCCCCTCCCCCTCCTACACTGTCCAGTCTGAGGGCAGAACCACCAGTGTGGTCTAGAGAGAGGTCCTTCAGTAGAGGGGGGGAAAGTACATTATGTCTCACTTCATTTCTTACACTACAATCTTCTCTGTTAGAATTCCTACAACAAATGTCACATTTCAAATTTCGCATCATCAGTATTATAACTGGATTTACGGAACATAAATACCGTAGCGAAGTACAGGTAGCAGGCTGGTGTATGTATGTATATGTGTGTGTGTATATATAAAATTCAGATTTTTCTACAAACTTGGGGAGTCCCCCAACCTTGAAGAAAGATCTGTTTAGCTTTGATGTAGCCATGATCTGCAGAGTTAGGTACCTGCAGATGGGTGCCATGTGTTGGCAAATGGGGACCCACAGGAAACTTGTGGGATGGTTATCCCATTCTTCACACCTTTGCTTCTTCCCCTCTCCTCCTACCTCTCTCACACTATTTCTCCCTTCTCCCCCCCCTTTCTTACTCTCTGTCATGCATGTTACTTCCTCTCTATTTCTGCCCCCTCATCATTCTTTGTTTTTCTGCCTCCCCACCTCATCACTCTTTCTCCTTCTGCCCCCACCCCATCACTCCCTCTTTCTAACCCATCACTCTCCCAGCCTCCTGCCTGCTTCCTCCCCCACCCTGCACAGCAGCAGCAGCAGTGTTGGCAGTGCTGGCAGTGTTCCCACGCACCCACCTGCTTCCTCCCCCCCCCCGCAGTAGTGGCAGCTCTCAAAGACTCACAACGGATCTCCCAGCTACAGAGATCAATTCACCTTAGGGCTGCCAGCTCCAGGTTGGGAAATTCCTGGAGATTTGGGGGTGGGGGAGGGAAGCAGCCTCAGCAGGGTATAATGCCATAGACTCAACCCTCCAAAGCAGCCATTTTATCCAGGGTAACTGTAATGTATTCAGCCTGACATGCCCGGACTTGCCCGGGCTGGCCAGGCACAATTCATCTGTAGCTTCAGTCGAAAGACAAAGGATCCGAAGGATCCTAGCCGGCCCAATCAAAAGGGTTAGCTTCCCAGCCGGGAGACCAATGGTCGCCCGGTTACTGTAAATAGCCTATCGGGAGTAGGGTGTGTGTTTAGGTGTACTTGGTGGCGGGTTTTCTGAATGCATATAAACCGGCCTGCGAGCTGGTCAGTTGTCTTTGTCCTGAACTAAATAAAGGTATGCTTAGCTGAATCACTCTCCGTCTGCATACTTTTCAGTAACTGATCTCTGTCATCTGAACAACAGTTATAATTCTGGGTGATCTCCAGCCCTCACCTGGAGGCTGGCAATGGTAGCTCATGTGGAGGAAATAACTGGTTTGGAGGATGGAGTCTATAGAATTATATGTCTGAAGTTCCCCCCCTCCTCAAATCCCACCCTCCCCAGGCTCCACCCATCAAATGTCCAGGAATTTCCCAACCTGTTCTTGGCAACCCTATTTCCTTCCCACCCAACAGTCAACCTACCTTTATCTGCCGCTCTGTCTTCAGCTTTCTGCCTCCATCCCCCTCCCCCACAGCCTCTACCTAGGAAAAATTACAGTGGGGACCAAAGCAGCTTACATTATGCTCTCTTCCTTTTTATCTGCACAACAACCCTATGAGGTTGGTTAGGCTGAAAGTGTGTGACTGGTCCAAAATCACCCCGCTTTCTTAGGGTGGCTGCTGCAAGCAGTTGCAAGCAGCAAGCAGTTGCAAGCAGCCAAGCCTAGCTGAGTCATGCAAGTGATCTGGCAACTTTCCCCCCCCCCCCATCTCCTGCTAGACTGCTCCCAGGCCTTGGGTTGCCAACTTCCAAGTGGAACCTGGAGACCCCCCAGAATTACAACTGGACTCTAGACAGCAGAGAGAAAATGGCTGCTTTGGAAGCTACTTTGAAGGCTGGACTCTGTGGCATTATATCCAGATGAGGCCTCTCCCTTCCCCAAATCTAGCCCTCCTTAGAC